CATAAAAACTTAGAGGAACCTGAATACATATTACTAAGTGAAAAAAGTCAATATGAACAGACTATTTGCTATATGGTTCATTAGACATATGACATATATGACATTCTGGAAAAGGCAAAACTGTGGAGAAGATAAAAAGATCAGTGATTTGTAGGGACTTGGGAGCAGGGACAGATGATTAAGTTGAAATGTAGGAGAATTTTAGGCAGTGAAACTATTTCATATAATAATATCATGGTGAATAAATATCATACATTTGTCAAAACACTACATGAACACTAATATAAACTATGAACTTTGGATGATAATAATGTGTCAATGAAATTCTTCAACTGTAACAAATATACCACCCTGGTGTGGAATATTGACATTAGGGAAGGCTGGAGTATGTGTTGCGGTAGGGGAGAGGATACTCAAAAATTCTGTACTTTTGCTCAATCTTGCTGTAAATGTAAAACTTCTCTAAAAGATAAAGTAGATTTTTTACAAAGCAATTACCTCCCTGTTGAAATAATTGATAAAGCAGGATCATTAATGGCTGCTAATATATCAAAAGAAGAGTTTACTATATGTTACATACTCTACATTATATACCTCCTGACAGAGGTATGCAATATCACAAAGACTTAGGAAAGGGAGGAGGAAAAGAGGAAGAAAAAGAGTAAAAAGAGGAAGAAGAGGAAGGGAGGAAGAGGAACAGGAGAAATGAAGAATGAGGAGGAGGATGAAGGGGGGAGAGGAAGGGAAGGGGCATCAAAACTTTAGGATCTAACTATATTTTATCAGAGATACAGAGGTAGAAGAACACATTAAATAATTATGCAACCAAAAAAATTCTGAATGCAGAGAGCTTTAGAGGACAAATTAACCCATGTTTTTCAACAAATAAATTGAAAGATAAAAGAAATGGTAGGAAACCCTATAGAGAGTTTAATAATCAAATGTGTCAATCTAATTCAGACCCTGATTCGAATAAATCAACTATTAAAAAAGAAAAAATAGTATATAAATGAAAGAATTAAAAAGAGGTACTTGACAAATGCTTGTATATGCAGTTCATGGCAGCACTAGTCACAATAGCCAGAAGATTGAAACAACCCATCTGTTGATGGCAACAGATGCAGGGCTAAATCGTGATATGCGTGCTGTAATGTGGATGAATCTCAAAACTATCCTGCTAAGGGAAAGAAGCCAGACACAAGAGGTCACATTATATGAATCCATCCATAAGAAATATCCAGAGTAGGTAGATTCACATAGACAGAAAGTAGATTGGTTGTTGCCAGGACCTTGAGGCAGGGAGAGGAGAAAGAGAATGGATGCTTAATGGGCACAAGATTTCCTTTTGAGATGATGGAAATATTTTTAAATTAGGTAGAAATGATAATTGCACAACACTCTGAATTGTTCACTTTGAAATAGTAGATTTAATGGTATGTGAAATGTGGTATGTCATTTAAAAAATAAATTTATGGTATGTCATTTAAAAAATAAATATAAGAAAATTTGACAAATGTATTGAAGTATTATTGGGTTGTGGCTCAGTGGTAGAGCACTGGCCTAGCATGTGTTGAGGCACTGAGTTTGATTCTCAGCACCACATATAAATAAATTAAATAATAAAGGTTCATTGACAACTAAAAAACTATTAAAAACAGAATTATTGGCAAGTTTTTTGACATGATGTGGTTGATTTTTTTAAGAGCATTTACTTTTATATTAGTTGCTGAAATTTCATTCATGGATACAATTATATGATGTGTGGGATTACTTCAAAATATCCAGTGTGGAGGTAGATGGAGGGGAAAGTAGGTAGAGATATAAACAATCCATGAGTAAACTGATTGTTGAAGTTGGACATGGGAGTTCATTACATTATTTTTTCTACTCTTATATATGGCTGAAGTTTTGCATAATAAGTCTTAAGGTTTCTTTTCAAGTATAATTAAGAAAATCAAGGATTAGATTAGATTGGGCTTACTTAAAAAAATTCAGGCCTTTATTGTATAAAATTAACAGGTAGAAAGGAGATTTGGTAATGCTCAGATTTGAAGAAAGAAACATGACAAACTTAGAGGAAGCATAAGAAATTTAATATCTCTTCTTGGAAGAAAGAATTTTGCATTTAAGCTTTTGGAAATTCTTGATTCAACTAAATGCAGCAGAGATATTTTTATAAAATGAGAAGCTATGGATTTAGGGTCACCAGATAAACTTCAAACCTGGATGTGCCCATCCAAACTACTCATTTTAATGCTGGCAAGGTCCAGAAAGGATTAAGCGACTTATCAAAACATCATTAAAAATAATCTAAAAAATACTAGAAAGTATAAAAATATAGAAAAAGATTATTCCTAATTTCAAATTCAAATAAAATTCTGTTAAAAGTTAGGGTCTTAAATTTCTAGAGTCATATGATTTGGCCAAATTGAATCAGGATGATATACACAATTTAAACAGAACAATTTTAAGCATCAAAATAGAAGATGCCATCAGAAGTCTACCAACCAAGAAAAGCCTAGGACCAGATGGATATACAGTCGAATTCTACAAGACCTTTAAAAAAGAACTAATACCAATACTCTTCAATTTATTTCAGGAAATAGAAAAAGAGGCAGCACTTCCAAACTCATTCCATGAGGCCAATATCACCCTGATTCCAAAACCAGGCAAAGACACATCAAAATATCTCTAGTAAAAATAGATGCAAAAATTCTCAGTAAAATTCTGGCAAATCAAATTCAAAACATATCAAAAAGATAATGCACCCATGATCAAATGGGATTCATCCCAGTTCAACATACGGAAATCAATAAATGTTATTCATTGCATCAATAGACTTAAAGATAAGAATCATATGATCATCTCAATAGATGCAGAAAAAGCATTTGACAAAATACAGCATCCCTTTATGTTGAAAACACTAGAAAAACTAGGGATAACAGGAACATATCTTAACATCATAAAAGCTATCTATGCTAAGCCCCAGGCCAACATCATTCTAAATGAAGAAAAATTGAAGGCATTCCCTCTAAAAACTGGAACAAGACACGGATGCCCTCTTTCACCACTTCTACTTAACACAGATCCTGAAACACTGGCCAGAGCAATTACACAGATGAAAGAAATTAAAGGGATATATATAGAAAAAGAAGAACTTGCACTATTTGCTGACAATATAATTCTATACCTAGAAGACCCAAAAAGTTCCACCAGAAAACTTCTAGAACTAGTATGTAGCAAGATATAAAATCAACATCCATAAATCAAAGGCATTTCTGTATAACAGTGACAAATCCTCAGAAATGAAATGAGGAAATGAGGAAAACTACCCCATTTACAATAGCTTCAAAAAATAAAATAAAATACTTGGGAATCAATGAAAGAGGTGAAAAACCTCTACAACGAAAACTACAGAATGCTAAAGAAAGCAAGCAAAAAAAAACCTTAGAAGATGGAAAGATCTACCTTGCTCTTGGATAGGCAGAATTAATATTATCAAAATGACCATACTTCCAAAAGCAATAGACAGATTTAATGCAATTCTGATCAAAATCCCAATGACATTCCTCATAGAAATAGAAAAGGCAGTCATGAAATTCATCTGAAAAAATAAGAGACCCAGAATAGCTAAAGCAATCCTTAGCAGGAAGAGTGAAGCAGATGGCATCACTATAGCAGACCTTAAACTATACTACAGAGCAATAATGGTATTGGCACCAAAACAGACTTGTAGACCAATGGTACAGAATAGAGGACACAGAAAGTAACCCACAAAATTATAATTATCTTATATTAGACAAAGGCACCAAAAACATGCATTGGAGAAAAGGTAGCCTCTTCAACAAATGGTGCTGGGAAAACTGGAAATCCATATGCAACAAAATGAAATTAAACCCCTATCTCTCACCATGCACAAAACTCAACTCAAAGTGGATCAAGGACCTAGGAATAAAACCAGAGACCCTGCATCTAATAGAAGAAAAAGTAGGCCCTAATCTCCATCATGTGGGATTAGGCCCCAACTTCCTTAATAAGACTCCTGTGGCACAAGAATTAAAATCAAGAATCAATAAATGGGATGGACTCAAACTAAAAAGTTTCTTCTCAGCAAAAGAAACAATATGTGAGGTGAATAGAGAGTCTAAATCTTGGGAGCAAATCTTTACCCCTCACACATCAGATGGAGCACTAATCACTAAGGTATATAAAGAACTCAAAAAACTAGATACTAAAAAAAAACAAACAAACAAATAACCCAATCAATAAATGGGCCAAGGACCTGAAGAGACACTTCTCAGATGATGTACAATCAATCAACAAACACATGAAAAAATGTTCATCATCACTAGCAATTAGAGAAATGCAAATAAAAACCACTCTAGATTTCATCTTACTCCAGTCAGAATGGCAGCTATTATGCATACCAACATTAAGTGTTGGCAAGGATGTGGGGGAAAAGATACACTCATACACAGCTGGTAGGACTGCAAATTGGTGCAGCCAATATGGAAAGCAGTATGGAGATTTCTTAGAAAATTGGGAATGGAACCACTATTTGACCCAGCAATCCCTCTCCTCAGTCTATACTTAAAAACAGCATACCACAGGGTAACAATTATTTTTAATGATGTTTGATATCTCATGGTATTGATAAAGTTCACCTATTCATTCCTCTATAATAAGGCATTCATGAGATTTACAACTCTTCATTACTATGAATAAAACTGTTATAAACATATTTTTATATAACACTTAACTATGGTTAGGATTACCATAAAAGTCACATTTTATGTTCTCAGGAGATAAAAATTTTCTAATCAAGGCCTTTTTACCTCTTGAAAATTTGTTAATGGACAAAACAGGGTTAGATTTTCCACTTTCTCTATGGATCAAGCTCAAAAAGTAAAAAATGATCAAATGCAGAGGACTGACAAATTTCAAAGCAACCTTTATATGGGTAGAGGCAGGAAAAAACTTTTAACTAGAATTTACTCTACCTGTTGAAAAGCTTTCTCTGCTTGCCGTTCAGCATCAATAACTTGTCTTTCGAGCTGTTGCATCTGTAAAGTAAGAGGAAAAAATGAAATATAAAAATTCATGTTTCCTTTTTGCAAAAAGATTTTTGCAAAAAAGTTTCAGTGTTACCAATTTTGAACATTTAAAGTGGTTCACTGGATACATAAGTCGCATACAATTAGTACATGAAAGGTTCTTTACATAGTTAAAAATTGATCAAACAAAATGCCAAAAGTTTTGATACAATGTAAGTATGCCATATGAGTGTACATCAATAAGACTAGATAGAGACCAATAGACTCTTCATTGTCAATATTGTCTTAATACACAATATTAAGAACAATAAGTATAAGAGAAAAGAAAGACTTCAAATGTCATATTTGACGTTTTGACCAAAAAGTTGCAGTAATATCAGGGAAAAGGGTGTATTCTCATAAACTCCATAGGTGATATGGGTGAGTCAAGGCTCTGGGGAGTTTTCATTCTTATAAATTGATGGAAACAGTAAAGAGACTCTTTGATTAAACACACACTAAAATGAATATTATAAGTAAAATTTTTAAAGCCTTATAAAGGACCCAATCTAATTAACATAAGGGATGCGTGCCAAGGGTTGAATACAAAAGCAGAACTCAATTTCAAATTCTTTGAAGTCTGGCCAACTTCAGAGCCCTCGGTGGCAAGCACGCGCTCATTTCCACTCTTCTTGCTGGCTGGGAGCTGGGCCGCCCGGAGCTCCGGCCACGCCTCCCTCCACTGTTGGGACTCAACCCCCGCGGACCGCGCTGTCAGACCCGGCCAGCTCCCACACCACCGAGAAGCGGCCTCCCGCAGCTAGAGAGGCCCAACCCCTGGCGGCCGCCAGCTGCGCGCCGCGGGGGACTTCGGGACCGGACCCCAGGCGGCCGCGACCCGGGCGCAGGGTCAATGCCTGGTAAATGGTGTTCGCTGCTGAGACGTGTGGATTGGGAGCACTTCCTGGGCTTTAATAATTGTGTTTAACAAAGTCCACGTCCCACATCGAGCACTACCATCTTGGCCTACCTGACAAAAGATGTGGTAAACATTTCAGAAGTGACGCGCCTGAAGCTCAGTGAGAGCCTTCGTTTTTCTGTATCATCCGTGGGGAATCCGTAGATGGGTTTTTGGACCGTACTAATGAACTGACTCCGGAAAAGATGGAAGTAATGATGCATGGCGTGTACCGCCTCAGAGCACTGGGACATCATTTCAATGATTGCCTGGTTTTCTTGCCTTCCAAGTGGTTCACAAAATGACCCAGGGCTGGCAAGTAATAGAACTGTACTGTCCAAGGGCACTCAAAATGTGGCTAGTCCTAATTAAGGTGTGGTGTAAGTATATTATACACACATCATTCAATAATGTCTTATTGAGAAACAGCCGGGTGCGGTAGTGCACGCCTGCAATCCCAAGGCTCAGGAGGCTTAGGTAGGAGGATGGCGAGTTCAAAACCATCCTCAGCAACTCAGTGAGACCCTGTCTCTAAATAAAACACAAAATAGGGCTGGTATGTGGCTTAGTTGCTGAGTGCCCCTGGGTTCAATCTCCAGTAATAATAATGTATTACTGGGAAACAGTATGAAGAAATAAAAATGAGTAAGTTTTTATATTAACTCCTTGTTGAAATTACATTTTGGATATGTTTTATTAAATAAAATATACTATTAACATTAACAATCTGTTTCTTTTCCATTTTATTCATTTGCCCATTAGAAAAAGGTTACCTGTGTCATTCACCTAATATTTTTCTTGGTAATACAAATGTAGAACATCCATTGTCACCATATATGGCAATTTAACTGTCCACATGTGAGCACTTTTTAAAAGGCAATTTATTACAGGGATCTAAATTCTGGAAGAAGTTTTTAAATATTTGGATATGTAAATAGATATTTCCCAAATACATTCTCTGGAACTTTTTAAAAAAATACATCAAATGTCTAATGGGCAAGGATTGTTGCTTAAAAGCATTTTGCTGACTTATCAGATACTGTATAGAAACAACTGGACAAGTATTATGTTTCTTGGATGTTCTTAGGATATCCTTTAAATCAAAAACCTACCAGCAGACAAATGCCAAGACCACATTCTTCCACTACTGGCAATATGCTGATACTTGTCACCTCTACCCTATAACTACATTCTATTTTCAGAGGAATTTTTGTACTTCTGGATCCTTAACTGATTTTTGTATATTGTTGGGGTTTCCAGGAGAAACAGAAAAAAAAATTCACAAACATTTGCTAATAAAATTTTGTCAAGGGCTGGGGATGTGGCTCAAGCGGTAGCGCGCTGCCTGGCATGCGGCGTGCAGCCCGGGTTCGATCCGCGGCACCACATACAAAACAAAGATAACTAAAAAATAAATAATAAAATTCTCTCTCTCTCTCTCTCTCTCTCTCTCTCTCTCTCTCTCTCTCTCCCCTCCCCTCTCACTCTCTTTCAAAAAATAAAAAATAAAATAAAATTTTGTCAAACTTTGCTAGTGGGGAAAAAAGTGAATAGTTTCTTAAAAGAACTATGAAAATATCTTGTCTGATTTTTTTCTTAAGTATTTAGTTTCTAGTGATAGCAGGAAGGGCCGAAATCTGTTTGCTTAACTGTTATTATATATCTAAAACAGATCTTTCTACATAGTAGGTACTCAATATATTACAAAGTATTGATGAAATGACAAAGCTCTCTGTTATCTGAAAAATACCATGCCTATTTGAAGAACAGTATTTTTAAAATATTTTTAAAATTGTTGATGGACCTTTATTTTATTAATTTTGTGTGTGTGTGTGTGTGTGTGTGTGTGTGTGTGTGTGTTGCTGGAGATTGAACCCAGGGCCTGTTCATGCCAGGCAAGCACTCTACCAGCTGAGCTACATCCCCAGCCCTTATTTATTTATATATGGTGCTGAGAATTGAACCCAGTGCCTCACACATGCTAGGCAAGTGCTCTACCACTGAGCCACAACCCCCGCCCATAGTATTATTTTTATCACTGCCAAATATTTCTGCTTCTGTAGCACTGACTGCCTAATTTGTAAAATTTCCTAACTTCATTTTAAGTTGCTAGAAATAATTCATGTGGGATACCCTTTAAATCCATTGGGACACCATACTTTGCACGTTCCAGTCAATAAAATTCTAAAAGGTATCAAAAACCTTACCAAGGGGCTGAGTCTGTGGGTCAGTGGTAGCATACTTGCCTGGCATGTGTGAGGCGTTGGGTTCAATTCTCAGCACCACAGATAAATAAGGGTCTATCAACAACTAAAAAATAAAACTAAAAAAAATTTTAAAAAATAACTTTACCGATTTTTTTTCTATTATTAAAAAGCATTTACTATATACACACACAACAGCAATTCACAGAACCTTGGTTATACAAGGTTATAAATCTGTTGCTGGGCATGAAAATTATGTGTATATCTTTGAATACAAGGAATTGGCTAAAAGCACAGGTTCAAAAAGTCACTTTTGCTTTTTTAAGAAAAAGGGCATAGTCCTTGAAATAATAATATAGGAGAAAATGGAAAGAGCAATAAACTTAGGGACAAGAACCCAGATTTATTAGTGGTATAATGACAAGAAAGCCATTTAACTTCTTTGAGTCTCCATCCCTTGTATGTAAAATTACACACTTATTTTACAGTATTTATATGAAGAATAAACAGGAAAGCATCTGGCACAGTGTCTGATACTTATTAGGTAGTCAATTAATATTTATATAGAGTGTTTTAAAGCAGTTATTCTACCATGTACATGTGTTACTTTTATAAATAAGTTTGGATGGCTTAGTTTAAAATGAACAAACAAGATTTAAAAAATTTAGGTTTTAATTCTTACTCTACTGTTTGCCAATAGTTTGCCACTGGGTTCTAAAGTTCTTGTATATGAAATGGGGAATAATATAATATATTCTTACTACCTTAAAGAATGTTGTAAGAATAAAAATAAGAAATCACATAAAAGTGATGTAAGAAAGTTAAAGATACCTCATTAGTTAAAAATGTGGTGGTGGCATTTATAGTGTCATAATTTGAATAATAAAAATAGAAGCCACTAGGTGTAGGGACAACCCTGAACAGGAGCTAAGCACGCCCCCTTAACCTTGAGTAATGGGGGTGTGGAATTGGCATCCAAGCAGTGCTGAGTAAGCGGGCCTTTCCTTCCCTGGGCAAGGAAACGCAGCTCGGGATTGGGCGTCACCCAGTGGAACGGGGTTACACCCCCCTGTTTGTTGAAACACAATACCTTGCCTTATTTGGGTGGAATATTCTATCTAAAGCCTTCCCTAATAAATACCCAGTTCGGGGTGCGCTCATTCTCTTGCCTCTTGCCTCCCATGCTCCTCCTGCAGCCTCCAGCGGGAGCTGACCCTTGAGGCCACAGAGCTGTCCCTGACCCCAGAAAAAGGTATTTTGCGTTTGTGTGGTCTTTTGTTGCCAGTCCAATTCACGCAGAGCGACCCTGAATCCATTGTCGCAAGCATGGGACCTGGGCAACAACAGGGTTGGGACATAGCTCAGGGATAATAGAGCTCTGGGTTTAATTCCCAGATCTGCCAAAAATAAGTAAATAATAAAATATTTAAAAATTAAAAAGGAGGAAGTAGAAAAATTAGAAGTATCTTAAAAAAAGGAATTACTAAGTATATAAATAATGGCACATCCTCAGATACCTTACAATCATTACAAATGTACATAAATGTAAGAAAGGTTATATTTAGGCTTCACTTCAATATAATATAGCAGAGGGTTGAAGTGGATCAGTGTAGAATAGAAACAGTATACTTCCTGAGTTGATAAGCATTACAGCTGACAGTAACATACATGGGGGTTAAATATTAATATTCTTATTACTATATGTTTGAAAGTCTCTCTAGCAATTATAAATATATATAATCCTATCTTTACACACATATGAAAATATATGACATATTCAAAGACAAATGTAAATTATATTTAGAATGATGATATATGTAGATGATATCTAGGGGAAAGTTTACAAAGCAGTAATTAATGTTTTAATC